CCCCCCCGCCAAGACGGCAGCACGAGACCCTGCCGGACCGCTCCGGAAGCGTGCAACTCGGTCAAAGATCAACGTCGATCAGGCTGGTCCACTTAACGTCCCACCACCAACAACGCCTTCCTCCCCATACAAACGAACGAGCGCCGAAGCCACCTGATTCCAAGCAACACAAGATGGGTGCCGAAGACTACTCGCCTCCTTCCACGGACATCATCACGCTCACGCGCCATGTGCTCACCGAAGGCTTCAAGCGCCGCGAAGAGAGTGCTGCCAGCGGTGACCTTACTATTTTGCTGAGCTCGCTGCAGACCACCTGGTAAGTTGGCGCTACGCTGAAAAGCCGCTGGCACCGGCGATACGCTCGCAGCTGTTTGTGCCAGGAGTCGTTGCTGACCTCGTCTAACCACGCTTTCTTTGACCCGCATCGTTCGGCCCAACAGCAAGTTTATCGAGAGCAATGTGCGCAAGGCCAGCCTCATCAATTTGTAAGTTCACCGTTTCTCAGACGCCGAGAACGCCGCATACTCCTCAAACGCGGACAGGACTGACGATCTTAAATCGTTCTGACCCCATTGTTCCTCACAACGCCGACCAGGATTGGAGCCGCCGGCAACACCAACGTGCAGGGCGAGGACCAGAAGAAGCTCGACGTCCTGTCGAACGAGATCATGATCAATGCGTTGCGCGCCTCAGGCAAGACGGCTGTTCTGGTCTCCGAGGAGGACGACGAGGCGATCTTCGTAGGCGAGAAGGAAGAGGGCGGCACGTTTGAATCGACCAAGGGCAAGTACTGCGTGGTCTTTGACCCTCTGGATGGCTCGAGCAACATCGATGCTGGTGTCAACATCGGTACCATCTTCGGCATCTACCTGGTCAAAGACGGCTCCAAGGGCACGCTCGAAGACGTTCTGCGGCCCGGTCGCGAGATGGTGGCGGCGGGCTACTGCATGTACGGCTCGTCGGCCAACCTTGTGCTGACGACGGGCAACGGCGTCAACGGCTACACGCTCGACAATCAGATCGGCGAGTTCATCCTGACGCACCCCAACATCAGGCTGCCCAACCGCGGCAAGATCTACTCGATCAACGAAGGCAACAGCATGTACTACCACGAGCCCGTGCTCAAGTATCTGGACAGCATCAAGTTTCCCAAGGGCGAGGGCGCCAAGCCGTACTCGGCGCGATACATTGGCTCCATGGTGGCCGACGTGCACCGTACCCTGCTGTACGGCGGCATCTTCGGCTACCCGGACGACAAGAAGTCGAAATCGGGCAAGCTGCGAATGCTTTACGAAGCCTTCCCGATGGCGTTGCTCACAGAGCAGGTGAGTGTCTCTCGGCGCCAACAAAGTCGGAGAGGTGCTGAAGTGGTGACCGACGACTGACGCTAACTTTTGCTTCCTTTGAACCGCTTCGCTGTTATTACACTGCAGGCTGGCGGACTGGCTACGACGGGCACAGAGCGCATCCTCGACATTCAGCCCACCTCGATTCACCAACGCTGCCCCGTATTCCTCGGCTCGAAAGAAGATGTGCAGGACCTGTAAGTTGAAGACCAAGGCTCGTTTCGACTTGCTGCGAGCTGTGACTGACGCGATTGGTGTCTCATCTTTTCCGTTCAACGAATCAGGATGAAGTGCTACCAGTGAGGTCGCGCTTGACGTACGCCCAGCACGCAACACCACTGGCTCGAGCAACAGGAGACCGACCGGGATCTAATCTTATTTCGTCCTCGTAATCAGAACCATCGCAAGCACGCCTGCAATCACCGCTCGTTGACTCGCGGGTGGCTGCCGAAATTGTCCTGCAGGTGAGGATCTGGTCGGCTTGGCTGCAGCGGGTGTTGTCTGATCTGGCGTCGTTCGGCAAATATTGGCTAAGCTGGCGCAGATCGTGGTCCAGACCTTTCACCTGCACACGGACATTGAACCGCTTCCCATGGAAACACGCACGGTAAATTGCAAGGTGGCAGCGAGAACAAGGGGAAAGTGTGAATAAGTGAGAACGATCTTATCGCCGGGTTGAGCGTGGTATAACCGCAGCTGTCCCATGTTCGGGAGGCTGCCCACGTGGATTCGAGCAGTAAAAATTCCACGTTCAAATTCCCAGGCTACCTGCGGTTCGCACAAAGGGACATGGCCATGGATCGCCTTTTCCCACGCGCACAATGCAGCCACCAAGCCATGCGAGGCGGTAGTGCGGCCGGCCTTCCGCAGCCAATGCATGCATCCGGGAGACAGGATGACTTTCTCGTCAGGAAACACCGACCCAGTGCAAGCCCATGGCCAAGATTAGCTGCCTTGTGTCGGATGTGTGCCATTGTCGCGCTCCCGTGACAGGACTCGCCCAACAACCTCGTCCGGCGCGCAGGCCCCGTCGTCGGTCAACGCATGAAAGCGAGCTCCCTCCCGCTGGCTGCCCAGCATAGCGACGAATGATCCCGGAAATAAGATGACATCCTTCGGACATTGCGAGATGGCGGATCCGACCGCCTCTGGCCGCTGCAGTCTCATTCCTTTGTCTTGTTTGCGTGCATGGCGGTGGCTCCCACCTGAGCGGTACACTGAACCCTGAGACTCGGATAGCACTCGTGCACCGATCCACTGCTTCTGTCCGCCCTTGCTGGACAATGCGTATGATTCCTATGGAAGTCAGTGCATCTCTGCCCAAACAGGAACGCCTCTCCCTTGCTGCGTGAAAAGGAGTTGCGATTGCATCTGCGCTTCTCCGCACAGGCGAACCGTGTGTCATGCGGAAACAGTCACCTTGGAAGAGTCTCGCTTCGGCCTGCTTTCCTCAGCCTGTCAAAATATGGCTTGTCAGATGCGATAGGGCGCAGGTATATACAAGCCTCCCTTTGCGGGCTGATCACCACCGCCCCGTCTCCCCTTGTCGCTGCCACACCGTGATCCGCACCACTGAGGCTTCAGCGCAGCTCAAAGCAAACATGTCCGCACCCTCTCAGCATCGCCAGCCCAGAGATCATCAGCCATCCGACTGCGTCGTCCGCGTCGTTCGCCTGTCTAGCTGCGAGCATCAGCGACAGCGCCAACACCATCATCACTGCCACATCACACCATGTCGCTGTACTACGCCTCGACACGAGGCACAAAACGTCGACCCCGAGAGAGGTCCGATAGACAAGCGGCTCACCACAGGCTCTGCGCGACAGACCGACGTCGCTCCGCCACATACACACTCCGCGCCATCTTCGGCGTCTGCATCGACCAGCCATTTCCGTTCTCAGGACCACGCAGTCATCAGCCTCAAACATTCCGAAAGCAAGCATCCAAGAGCTTCGGCGCCGTGTCGGAGCAAGAGGGGCCGAGGGGAGCCTGACTCGATCGCCGATACGCGGCGCGAAAGTGCGCCGTCCACGCTGGGAGGTGGTGCCTCCAGTGCTTCCGCCGACACGCAGGCGCAGTGTTGGGGATGCTGTGCTTCGGATGCGACCAGCAGACAAGAGGAGTGGGCAAAGGTGTACTACGTACGCAAAGATGTGGTGGCTTCGCAGTCGGATCTGTTCAGGGAGCTGGTGCAGGCACAGCAGGTGGAGTCAGGCGAGATAGGAAGCAGAACTGCTCGCATGATCGAGGTCGCTCTGACGTTGCCAGACGCAACCAGCTTCGGGGTGCTGCTCGACTACTTTGAGAGCGGTGACTTTGGCAGAATCTCTAGCGCCATGGAGTCCGGAGAGGCTCGGTGGGAGAGCGTCATGCTGAATGCGCGCCATTTGCGCGTCTCGGAGGTGCTCAAGATGCAGCTTGGCGCGTGGTGGAGACACCAACAAGGCCGCATGCACCGCGGCTCCCTACCTGCCTCAGCTGTACCTCCACCACATGCCACTCAA